AAAATATAACCTTTTTATGAATCTTATTTAGGTAGTAAATAACTGTTTCTTTCTTGCTATCTATCTATCTATCTATTTATCTGTTCCCTCATAAACATCCACCAAAATATCGATTAGAGTGCATAGAAAGAATGGAGCGCCCCCTTATTTCTCACATACAGTTGTTGGCATCAGTTTATAAGAAAAATAATTGAAATTTGCATTATTCATTGCCTCCCATTTAGCATAAATATGCTAGTTCGCTATCTACATACATATGTGTACATCCCAACAGGGTGAGCACACACACGGTGCTGCCAACAAAAGTTATACAAAATGTCAAAGCAATTTAAAATGTAAATGAAATTGACTTTAGAGTCACGCGGCCGAACAAAGGGGGCAGAAGAGAGAGCAAGGGATAAAGTGAGTGAAAAGCAAGAGAAGGAGATTAGGTAATGACACTATTTTTTGCAATGCGTGAAATACGTGGAAAGAAAATAATGGCTAATGCATGTCTTAAATAATTGACAGTTTGGATGTACAAGTCGAGAACAAAAATCAAAAACTTAAACAAACAAGAAAAAACGTCAACTTCAGACCACCGATGCTATAATACCCTTCAAAGGTGCATTTCTTATAGAATAAAAGGGTACAAAAACGGTAAGTTTTATCATCATATCAATATCTCGGACCAAAGTTGTAGATTATAAAATTATCTATAAAAAATGTATCAATACTTTTTTCCTTACGAGCCATTGTTTCGGAGATATAACGATTCAAAAATTTAGAAAAGTTGTAATCGTTAATTCTAATTTGACCGGATTATGGCCACATCATACAGGTTAACGGTACTTCAGCTAAAGCCACTTTGAGCAATCACATTCGCACACACTTTATTGCAGCCGAGTACCCTTAGGAAATCTACTTATGTTCGTGCACTTAGCTTGTACCAGGTATGCGTGTGTAATGAGGCGTCAAATGGCATTGTGATAGAGTTGACGCAGGGAAAATTAAGTGGAAAATTATATTCAAAGTGTCACATATATCAATCGATATTTAATCTACTTTCTCAGAGTCAACAAAGTAGAGAAATGTTGACCGACCTTAAAAGACTAGCAAACCATATTATGCAAGTTCTAAAACTCGCATGCGATTTGAGTTTGTGCAATAGTTTTTAGAGTGATTTCGTAAATTTTAAGTACAAAAAATGCATAATTTTACATAAGCTGTACTAAAAGTCTGGCCTCTGTAATAGTTTTCGAAACAATATACTTAGTTTTACATTCACATAAACACCTTATAATTGACTAACTGATTGCTCATTCCTTATGTTTATAAAAAGAGATACTAAGATATAAAGAGAGAACTAGGGAGGGCATTCGAGCAAGAAGAGAATGCTAGTTTAAAAATGAAGCCTTTATGAGAAGGTCTTTCTAAAGATCTCAAAACGGGGCTAACTTTGACAATTGTTACTGAGAGTATGGGAATTAAGGAGTGGAATTTCTGTCTTTCGGGTTATATTTATATATTTAGGTATAAAAAGATTGTCTTCATATTGACATGTTGATACCAAATGGCGGTTACTAAGCCAATCTTTTAAATCAATATTTTTCAACAGGGCCTCTACTTAGTACTCGCACGCCCCATTTTAGATTTACATATTAATTTAACGATGTTTTTAGAACCCTAAAGTAAACAGTTAGTCTTAGGAAAAAAGTATTCATACAATTTTTTATAGATAATTTTATGGTCTACAATTTTTGTCATAATTAAGTTTTTGATATGACTTAACGCGTCGTTTGAAAATCGCAAAAGCAACGCTTGACTTTTGACTTCGAGTATTTTTCTTCACATGTCGAAACAATGAAGAGCTTTAGTATTTTATCTTCAGTCATGTGTTCAACTTATTTACTAACTTTCAGCTTGTTGTAAGTTGATGGAACCTCACTCTGTATTTGTGTCTAATTTAAGCGGACTATTAACAAAATACATATTAAGCGGCTCAATGTCCTTTAAATAAAAATTTATTATGAATCATAAAACTTCTAAATGTGTATACAATTAATATTCTCACTCTAATATGATGATTAGAAATCTATTTTTTTTTAGTTTTTTTATCTTTCGGGGAGTACAAAAACTTATAATTTACCTTCCCTATCTAATTATGTGGAAACGATAAGCGTCTAAAAATCATTATTCCTTTTCCATGTCAGCTTGTAATTTAAATCCAATTACATTGGCATTTCAGAATGCACCATACCAGGAGAAAATGCACATACCGACTGCTGACCACACCACACTGTGCCTTAGATTACATTACTTTTCGTCTCGACAGTAAGTCTCCGCCACCAGCTCGCCGGTCTGGATGGGACAAAATTGTCATATTGTTTTACAAATTACTTATCTTAATCGAATTTTAATTGCTTTGCGGCGAGCTAAGGACAATGACACTGCCGCATGCAACAACAACAACAACCAGTACGAAAACAAATTGAGTAAGCGCTACTATTACAAACTGGCACAGTGATTTTTATTTTTATTTTATGATTTGGTTTTGTTTTTGTTGTAAGCTAAAATTTAATATTTGAGCGCACAGCTGGCGGCGTGGCACAATGCGATTATAAAGATATTTTGGCCAAAAATGCAAATACACCAAAAATAGGTATAAAACATAAATATAAATCGACACAAAAGAGCAGAAAGCTTAAAATTGCTTTACGCACCTCACAAACTTTAGGCAGTCAGATTTACGGCGGCAACAACAACACAGCCAGAAAAATTATACATAAATAACGAACTTAAGTCCAAGCTACATTTAACAAACAATAACGGCGTTTGTCATAAAGCAAACGAAAAGCGACTACAACACGAAGTGAAGTAAACAAAAACGAAGAGGCAAAGCAAAAGTGAGAGAGCATGGCGACAGCTGAGTAGCCCGAAAAGCAATTATGAGTGGCCAAAGTCAAAGTAAACAAATCAGGCACACACACAACCATACATAGGTTTACATAACTATAGAACGCGTGTGCTTGGGTAGAGGGCAAGGACACATTAAAGGCAAGCAAGCGGGCAAGAAAAAACTATAGAAAACACATTTCCGAATATTACAGCAATATATGAAAAAGTAAAGTTTACCTCGAGTAAACAGTATGGAAATGACAGATTGAATACCACTGGGGTGGGAGTACGAACGCACATTGAGACAGCAGTTGGAGACACAATTGAATAAATCTTCGACTGCACAGTGTGTTTGTTGTGTTAAAAATTAGTATTTACATAGAAAAGTTTTTATTGAAATTTCAATTAAGTAAATATTATGATTTTATACAAATCTTTGTATATTCTCAGTAAGGTTCGATAAAAATATTGTTTTATTATGTAAAATTACCAAATACTAAATATTACATACTAAATACTAAATACCGAAAACATATATTTAATGTAAGTACTTAGTAATGTAAATAAAAAACATTTCATCACTTCGTTGAAAACAGCTCAAACTTCGAAATTTTAATAATGATAATTGAGTCTATGAAAAAAATAACTTTTGTAAAACTGCTCTTACATCTAAATTTCTCAGCAAAGTAAAACCGGGGAATATGTCAAGTGATACGCTCTCTATGTCTGCACAGTTGACATTTTCAAAGCTTTACAAAAATAGAATGAGTATACACATACCTTTTTTGAATTTCATTTCTCACCCTTTTAGCGGTTTCGATTCTTCAATTATATTCTTAGGCAATTTGAAAATAATGTTGTTACATTACTATACTTATATTTATATATATTTACAGGGTAAACCATTTGATAATCTATCCAACCCCACCGAAGGCGATTCATTACTTCTGTAGCATTAATACGGTGATTGTTCCCTTTTACGACTTCTTTGGTTCGTTATAAAAAAGTCTCATCTCCATGGAGGTATACATACAACCGGACTTTCACTGCTCAAATATTAATAATATGAAACTTTTGCGACTAATATTTTCTACTATGTTGAAGGAAGCCATTGATAATTATAATATAGACAAACACATTGGCGGCCTGCGGTCTTCAAGGGTCTCACAACATATTTTTTTATAACTTTGTTTTTTGTTGCTCCACTTGCGCCAGAGCCAATATTCGCAAAATTGTTTTTTTCCAATGTGTATTCAGTGTGACACCGGCTCTACAAATTACCTGTGCTGCCACCCGCCTATCTTGTCCATCAAGGCTTTAGCCACTTAGTTGTGCTTTTTTTGTTTTTTGTCTGCACATTTTTGCTGCTCACTGTTTGTCAGTGGACGCCACCAATTTGGTTGGGTGCAAATTCAAAGTAAACACTCAAGTGTATAAACAACAACGCCCTTCAGCGAATACCAGATGAGTGTGTGGTATGGCCTTACTGATTGCAATTGTTGCTGTAGTTGTTATTGTTGCAATTGTTGGTTAGATGTCGGGCTTGCCTAAGAGCTTGGCTGCTGGTGCTGAGGAGAGGTGCAAGCTGTTGCGGGATATTGCTGGGCTTTACACTCAATTTGATGATGGTCGGCTGAGGGCAAGTAATATTTTGCTGAGAGCGGCACTTTTTCGCACAAACATACACATATATACACACACACACACACATACGAACAACAGCTTGTGCATGGAACAATAAAAGCGCTGAGCCAACAAAATTGTTGTTTGTTTAAGCCACTCACACCAATGTTTGAATGCATATGGATGATTGGTTGCTTGTGTCTGTATGCCTGCACGTGTGTTTGATTTGCATAAAGACTCGGCGATCTGCGAAATAGCAAAATAATATGATATTTTATTAAAAAAGATTAACGCAAACAAAACAAAGCAAAGACAAAGACAAACAGCGCACTGCGGTAGTAGGGGAGCAGGGAAAATGCCATTATAAAGAGTAAACAGACGACTTTCAAATTTCCCATTTACATTTTTTACGTTCTTCCATTACACACTTCCAACCAAACATTTCCTTCGTAAATTCCTTGGGCAAAATCTAACTTCTCTCCTCTTCTCTTTCCATGCAGCCGCGAAGTCGCCGCCTTGCGTGATGGTCACCTCGGCGGCAACAAAGAGCGCCTCACCGTCGAGTGGCTGCAGCAATCGATCGCTGAGATACGCAAACAACTCGTCGAACTGCAGGGACTCGCCAGCGAAGCCAGCAAAAGCATTAGCCATCGGTCGCAGGGCTACGAGGACATGGCGACGGTGCGCAACGACTTCACCCAGTTGAAATTGGAGGTGGCCGCGCTGAGGGAGCGCCAGCAGCAGAGCGAGGTATTTGTGCAGGAGCTCCGCGAAGAAGCGTTACAGCAGGAGGAAGACTATAAACGTTTGCTCTTGCGTGCCGCGCCGTCGCCGACGGTCGTCAAGGGAATGCCGGCGGAGCCAGCGTTGGTGTTGGAGGAGAAGCAAATGCAACAACAGCTACAGCAAACAGTGCAGTCGAGCGAAATCGATTCGGAAAATAACGAGGTGAGTGTGTTGCATGTAAATGATTTTTATAATGTGAAAAATGCTTATTTTTTATTCAAATATGTATCAACTGTCAAATTGCCGTTATGATAAGAATTAAGCTGGCTGCAAATAAGCTCGCAAGTGTTTGCAATTCATCGCGAACAAGCACAGCGTTGTTGTCCAATCACATGTTTTTTGTGGAAAATTTTCGATAACGCAAAATATAAAATTTTTTTTTTATACTTTTACGGATTTTTAGTGTTTACTGGCATAGAGAAGTTCACCTGAGTTCATAAAAAGTATACGAATTTAAACTTTTAAATGTTTAAAGTTTTTGATCATTTTAATATAAACAATTAAAGCGATCATTTTATCAGCAGAAAAATATGCAAATTCTTGTTCGGTTGTTCCATTTTTAGTTTATCCCTGTGGATGTGGCAAATAAGTTATTTATATCGAAATTAACTCTTGGAATGTTTTAAGCTTTCACAATTTTTCTGCATCTTTTTCTTTTCGCTTTTGACAGAATTAATATAATTTTAGAACAGCAAAAGAAACAAGAAAAGAGAATACTCTTCACAAATAATAAAATTTCTATACAAGGACTAAATTTTGATTTTTCAGTTTGTATGACAGCTATGTATATGCTATAGCGGTCTGACCTAGAAAATTTCTGTAAATATTTTAACTTTGCATTAGACAGTTATCCATGCCAAATTTGGTGAAGATACAAGTATAACATCAAATCAAAGAGTTTTTCATGCAAGACATGACTGTGTTCGATCAGGTTGGATGGCAGCTATATGTTATAGTTGTCTGATATCGGTGTTTCCGACATATGAGCAGTTTCTTAGGTAGAAAAAGATGTGTACAAAACTTCAGCGTGATATAACTAAAACTGAAGGAAATCGCTATTACACTCCTATTGTATAGGGAGACTAAGGCAAGTATAGTGGCCGCTAGGTAACCGTATACCAAAATTTGGAGTATGCAGAACAACATGCTACTAAGTGGTCAGTCGCTTTTTTGGTGCAATAAGTATTGTGTTTCTACTAGAAATTTAAAATTGAGACTGTTATTGCGAAGAATACAGAGATTAGTAACGCTCTGCAACTTTAAAGCAATTATTTCCCTTTCTCTTTTACCACTTTAATTACGTCTACCCTGAAAAGCTGTCTCCGTATCACACAAAATAATTTTACCTCCAAAATATTATGACTCAATATAGACTTAGATGGTACCTTATCAGAAAATATATGCAAATAGTTACGGCACACGTGTATACATACACACAACCTGACGCGCTCTAATCAATGTTCTAATCTATCACTATTACATGTGAAACTTTAACAATCTGCCAATCAATTTAATGCCACCAAGTGCTATAAGGGCCAAAGTAATGTCATATCCAGTTCCTCCTGCAGCTGTAGTAATAATGTACTCCCACTCATCATTACCCACAAATATGCGACTAAACGGGTGCTTGTAAGGGCACTGCCTGCCTACTAATTCACACGCTTGGCCAACACACACAAAAATGTAGCACTTAGCAGCGCATGGAGGAATTGTTACAGCTAACAATGAGAATTAGGGCTACTTTGCTGCAATTTGGTCCAATATGAGCGTTTTGTTAACTAACGTAGCTTAACGTTGATATATTATTCCCATCCGAGCTCCCGAAATTTCTGGCGCGTCACCAAAGACATGTGTGACCTGGCGTTGTCCTGATGAAACACAATTCGGCCTCTGTTGATCAAAGATGGCCTCTTCTGGATGAGTGCTGCCTTCAAGCGGTCCATAGGGGAGCAGCTGGTAGTAGATGATTCCTTGCCAATCCCACCAAACACACAGCAAAACCTTCCTGGTCGTCAATCAGGTCTTGGCCACCATCTGGGCCGCTTCCCAGAGCTTTGACCACGACCGTTTGCGCTCGATGTTGTCATAAGTGACGGGTCGATTTTGTTGCGATTCTGCATGCGATTTGCAGATGGAAATTCGGTCCATCATGTTTTTTTGCGTTAGTTCGTGTGGCACCCAAACATCGAGCTTCTTTTTGAATCCAAGGTTATGCAAATGGTTCCAAACGGTTTTCTGGCTTATCTTTAGTTCCTCAGCAATTAAATAAGTGCTCACGTGACGGTCTGTTTCCACTATTTCCATGATTTTATCGCAATTTTCGACGACAGGCCTCCCGACGCGTGGTGCATCTTTGACATCGAAATTACCGGAACGGAACCTAGCAAAACACTTTTGTGCTACACGTTCGTTTACAGTATCGGGCCCATAAACTAAATTAATGTTTTCAGCCGCTTTGCGCTATAGCGAATTTTCTCTTTATTGGTGTCCATCTTTGACGAGCGCTCACAACGTACTGAGTCAATCAATCGAAAAACTGTCAAGGACAAACTTTTAGCGCAAATAAACACGTTTTCAGCGCCGTATAGTATGACATGATGCGACACTAATACTATGGACAATAATGCCATCTCTTAGATAAAAACCGAACGAACTTTTTACTTTACCTAATATTATATATAAATATACTTATATGTCTGAATTTAGACACAATTTATTATGTAACAACACAATATAATTTAAATATAGTATAAATTTGTAGACAAATTATGTCATAAACTCATTGGCTCTTGTTTGTGCAGAAGCATTATAATTATATGCATGACTCGTAAGCTTGAGTTCTCCGCTGGCCAACATTAAAATTTCCTCTGAAACTTTAGTCAATTCCCTAAAGCACCTTAAAGTTTCGTAATAATGCTAGTAAGCTGGTGATTAAATGCCAAATTACTTAAGTGTACACTTAAGTACATATGTGGAAATATTTATGTAGCTCCTTAATTTAAAAGCGCTCTGGAGGCAGTTTAAGCGTTGAAAATGCTATTGTAAACAAAAATACAAGTATAATTAATTTTCGTTTTTAGTTCAAATTTGTAATAGAGAAAAACTCAGACTCTCATGACAACTTGCTCCTTTTTTAAATTGAGAATATATAAATATGTCTATATGTAATAAAACTTCAATATAAAATTGGCTTGGATTAGAAATTAAGGGGCAATATTTTTGCGAAGAGTTGTTGATTTCCTGAGTTCCAAGCTTTCTTACACTTAGCGAAATGCATTCTACGTTAAACACAGTATAAAAACGTGGCTGATATTTGCTGAACTTAGTATAAACAGAGCCTTATGCTGGATACAGTCGCCGCTTCTACCATCCGGTTCTATCCGCGAAAATTGGATTTTTTCCATAGAAACGAGTTAGCTGATTGCTCTCACGAGCTCTCTAACAACGCAGAGTTGCCAGTCTCAATATAATGTAGTAGCTAAAAATTAAATTTGAATATATTTGAAATATTCTTAAACAACCTCAAAATTTCAGTCGAAGACAATTATTTATAAATAGGTCGCCTTTTTTTAATAGTTGTATTTTAGTTTTGAGTTTTTACATTATAAAAAATTGTAACTGAAATGCTAAATGTCTACAAAATCATGTATATAATTTAAGCAATGGCAACATTGGTAAAATAAAAACAAAAGAGAACAACTGATTTCTACGTTGCCACTACGGGCATACGTTTTGAAATATTTTGGTTAATATACGGAACGGGCGGTAAGGGCAGAACGTCGGTGACTGTTTCCAGCATTAGAAAAGGTGCTGAACATGCTCTATATCTCTGCTTTGAATCCATTATTGTGAAACAATAAAGGTATAGAAAATGTCAAGATTCGACAACTAGGGAAAGCGTATCAAAAGTGTATAGTCTAGTGAGCCTAACACCCTTTACCTATTACCGAAAGTTTTTGAATTGCCTGATTTAAATATACAATATTTCTTGAGTGACCGTTTCCACTTACTACCTAAGGTCTCGAATACAGCTCCTTCACTGGATAGGCAGCAAACTGTTTTACTGCGCATTTTATGGATTGAAAATGAGGTAGTATTGAACATTGTAAAGAATTCCATTTTCCTAAAAGTGAAAAAACCCTGAACTATGTGGTTATGGAACTGCAAAGTAGCATAACCCTTGCAGCAAAGCACTATTAAGGCAAATTCATTCCAAGCCACTGCATTCAGCTGTTATTCCTATTGCATGCCTGCCACTTGATTTCGTGCGCCTTACGCAGCGAAGTATATTATCTCAGCACTTCATCAATTGCCTGCTGCTGAAGTGTATCGAGGGAGCCAATGAGAGCGAACGCTTGCACCTCGCTGTTGTGTATTTTATAACGGTTGTTGCTGAGTTTTCAATAAACTTCACGTTAACCCACTCAAAGCACTTCTCAACGATTGCCTACACTTCAGCCGACGATCGACACTCACGCCAATATTGTATCATTCACAAGTTATTTCCTGCAATTTGCCATCTCCGCTGCGAGCCGTAACTCCACTTTATGGTATACCGTTAAATCTCTTGTGAGTGTACAAGCACAGCTGAGTTTCTACGTAACGGTAATTTTGTACCGAAAACTATGTACTGCTAAGCCAGCTCTACTTGTAGATGGTAAAAATGTATTCTAAATTCTGTGTGTCAAATAAAATACTCAACTCTTCACCTTCACCTTCCTTTTCTTACTTGGAAATCAAAACCATTACATCTTTCTCTCCACCGCCATATCTTGTATTATGTGCTTTAACGTGCTATGCATTTTAACTTCTCTCCTTTATTCTTCCATTGTTCCATTTCTCTTTTTTCATCTGTCGTTGCAGTTTAGTTTCGCTTTTTGTTAACTTGTTCGTATTATTGCTTCCTCTTTCTCTTGCGTCTCTTTGTGATGTTAACTTGTTGTTTACTACAACACTTCGACTACATTCTTGCAACGCTCTCTCATTCGATTGCGATAAAGAAATCATTAGTAATAACAATAGAATTTGATGGGCATTACTTAGTTGCCAACACTCGTTCATTGTGAAAGTCATCAGTGCTTTGGCCAGTCAGTCAATGCGTCAGTTGGCTAGCGATCAAATATTTAGTGAGCGCTGTTGAGCAAAAACAGTGGCATAACAGC